GGGCGGGGGAGGGGGGCGCGCAAAGGGAAGAGGGGTTTTTTTAGGAGTGAGTGTGGATGTGGTAAGAGGAGGCTGGCGAATGATGGCCGGGGCGAAGATACGTGAGGTGAGCAGGAAGAAGTGTTGTGTACATCGGGGGCGCTCGCCATGCGGCGTTGCCGCCAGCAAGGGTTCTTCCCTCCACCAGCAGCATGCTCCTCCGCATTGCCCCGGCCCCCATCCCCACAAGCATCCTGCGGCGGTCATTGCTGCAGTCTGCAATCGACATCACGCAGCAGGCACCCTCCCAGACCGCCAACGCTGACCGCCCCTGGCTGGCCTCCCCCCGCCCTCCTTGTCACCTGTAGGCCACGCTGTCCCACATGGTGGGGTTCTCGTTGAGGTAGTCCATCTTCATGCGCAGGGTGGCCTCACCCTCGCGGTACAGCCCCCGCCGCATGTCCTCAAACAGACGCAGGTTCTCCTCAACAGACCTTGGGCCGAGGGCGGCATCAAGGGCAGGACGCATCCAAGGGGGTGTTGGTGCGCCGATATCGCAGACGAAAGCGTGCTCGCGTCAGACGATGGACCCTATGTAGCAGGCGTTGCAGTGGCGCCATTATGCATTCATGGCACTCCAAGGGTAGACGGGCCCAGCCCAACCCCGAACGCCCCCCCCCCACCTGTTCCTCCAGGGGGAGGGCTGCTTCTTCTCCCGCGACTCCTCAATCTCCGCCTTGGTCTGGGGGGTGGGGGAGGCAGAAGATTGGAAGAGGGAGGTTGGAGAGGAAGGGGGCAGAAAGGGGGAGCAGAGGGGGATTTCGTATGGGGCCCGCACATCCTGTATGGGGCCCGCGCATCCATGGTGTCGCGGCATGCAGCAGGGCTTGCTTGCAGCCGGCAACAAGCTGCACAGCGTGAGCCACAAGGTGTGCTCTTGCCACATGCGCACGCACATGCACACACAAACACACGACATAGATGCTTATGCACATTTACAAAGTCACACACAGTCACAAATCACACACACACACATGCATGCATGCGCACGCACCCCCCCTCACCTGGTGGCACACGTACGCGTGTCCCCCCTGGATGAGCTGCAGCGCGTAGTCGTAGAGCCGGTCAAAGTAGTCCGACGCGTACGTGATCTTCCAGGGGGTCCAGCCCATCCAGGCCACGATCTCCTCAATGTGGTCAATGTACTCCTGGGGGAATTCAAAAGGAAGGGGGGGGCTGGCGTGATGGCGGTGAGAGAGGCTCGTGAGGTGGCAGGGAACATGGGCAGAGGGGTTCGGATGCATGGATGGGGACGCAAGGAAACCAAAGCAGGGAGCGTGCGGGGCGCGATCGGGGCAAAGCGAGAGGGTGTGTGAGCGACACATGCTCGGCTGAGGCCGCCTGCACAGTCAGCTCAGAGCTATCTGCCGCCGCAAAGTCCCCCGTCCCGTTGCTAGGGCGGTCCCGCCCCTAGCGCCCCGTGGTCCCACCTGTTTCTCTGCGTTGGGGTTGGTGTCGTCGTAGCGGAGGTAGCACACACCACCATAGCGCGCCGCCATTCCAAAGTCGACAAACATGGCCTGGGGGGTGAATTGTGAGCAGGCGGATGTGGCGGGTTTGTAAGCGTGCGACAAAATGTTGCATCAGTGGTGTAGCCGGGTGCAAATGAGAGCGATAATCATGCGGGTAAGGGCCGCATGATAACAGGCTTGATGGCAGTGCAGAAATGCCGCCATTAGGTGCTCGGCCACAGAGCGGAGCCCTGGGCCCCACGGTGCAGCCAGAGGGCTTGGAATGAGGAGTCAGCAGGACTGGCACGCCTCCAAGCACCGGGCCACGACCTTAAAACCTGAGACCTCACACACACACACACACACACACACACACACACACACACACACACACACACACACACACACACACACACAGGTGTGCGGTGCGCGCACCTTTGCGTGGCCGATATGCAGGTAGCCATTGGGCTCTGGCGGGAAGCGCGTGACCAGCTTGCCCCCCGTGCGCGCCAGGTGCTCCGCCAGCTTCTGCGCGCTGTTGGCGATGCGCATGACGCCGCGCTCGTCGCTGAAGTTGACCGAAGTGTGGACCTGGTACGCGGAGGGGTGGGGAGTGGGGGAGCTCGTCCACGTCGGCGCTCCCGCAAACGTATGTGTGTGTTGCAGGCGCTGCATGTGCGTGCAAATGGGTGTTTCTCGAGTGTGTGGCCAGAGCACCACTGTGTTTTCAGCGGCTCACAAGTTTGGCGTGGTGACTGGGCTGTCAAACCTAAGGGGCCCCTGGTGCTTCAAAAGGATTGCTGTGGGGCGGCGCAAATCACGTCCCCGCCCCCCTTCTCCCCCTTCACAATCGCCCCAGCAGCGCGTATGGTGGTGGCCCCCTCATGGCACCTTGTTGTTCTCCTCGGGCTTGGGCATGAATGCGTAGGGGTCGTCGTCGGTGCCCGCAGCCTGGTGGGTCGGTAAGGACAGAGGGTGGGAGCCCAGGTCAGCCGGTGGCGTGCAACTGGGCAATCGGTAAGGGACGGGGGCAGAGGCCCCCAAGTGCTGGTCCTGCGATGCCAGTGCCAGTGGGGCGCTGCGGGCTGCAGGCTCGCGCCGTGCTACCGGTCCCGGTCCCCTCACCCCTTCTGGCACCTCACCCCGTCCTCGGGCGCGGCGTGCGCCTTGGCGCCCGCCGCCTTGCCATTGGTGGCCGCTGCCGCCGCCGCGGGGTCCTCCTTGGCCTTGGGCTTCTCGGCCTGCACGGCAGCCAATAGGGTGTGGGATAAGCAGACGTCACTCAAATGTTCAGGAAGAGCGGCTGAAGCTGGAGGAAGCTGATGCGGTGCAGCACGCGTGGACCAAGAGCAAGAGCAAGCACGTCGCCACCGAGGGGGTGGCAGGGCAGCGACCTCACACAGCGTGTGCACACCTGCAAAGGCCCGCCCCCCGCCCCTCCGACCGCCTCCCGCAGTCCCGCCCCACCTTTGCCTTCTTCTTCTTGTCGGGCGGCGGCGCCAGGTCGGCCTCGGTCTTTGGGCCCAGCAGCTCCTCAACAGCTGCGGCCAGCACCTCGCGCACCTGCTCGCGCGCAGCAACCCGTCCAGCCGCTCAGACAACCCACGTTGTCACAATGCCCACCGCACGCCAACGAGAAGCGCCAGGGGGCAGCTCGCCCAACCAGCTTTGTACCTCCGTGCCAAGCCAAGCCTCAAAGGTCCCGCAGTGACGCCCCCATTGCTCCCACCACCCGAGCGCCCCGCGCCCACCTTGCCGCCATCTGCCCACTTGAGCTGCTTCGTGATGCCGGCCAGCAGCACGTTGGTGTTCATATGATACCTACGAGGGCACAGGAGCGGGGGCGGCGGAGCATGGGAGGGGGCACCAAGGTGGCTGCCGCGGCCCCTACGCCCTCGGCCCCCACGCCCGCTTGCAGCGTGCTGCTCGCTGCACCTCCATTGCTCCGCTGCTGGAAAACGCTGGCCTGCAGCGGCTCGGCGCCAGGATGACCGACACCCCGCGCCGTCGCTTTGGCCCCCAACGGCATACACCCATGGCCCCATTCTGCGCCGCCCACGACGTTGAGCAACCCCATCCCCATCTTCCTGTTCATCTCATGGTCTTGCGGCCGCGCACCTCTCCTCCAGCAACCGCTCCTTGGCCGCCTCCAGCGCCGCGCCCACCGCCGCTGCGATCTCCTCGGGCCCCACCACCACGCCCACGCCGGCCGCCTCCTCGAGCTCGGCGCTGGACACCTCCCCCGGCCCGACGCGCTTCAGGTACTCAAAGGCGCCGTCAAGCTGGGCGTTGGACTGCAACGGGATGGGGGTCCGGGTGCACAGATGTGAATGATTGGCGGGCATGTAAACCATGCCCTATCCAGCTCGAGCGCAACGCGATTGCAGCAGGCCTTCGAAGACTCGTGAGGCGACTCGGCTGCCGAAAGGCTGCCGCCGTCCCCCCTTCCGCCCACCTTGATCTGCTCGCTGACGACGTAGGTCAGCAGCAGCGGCCGGTGGGCCAGCGCGTTGGCGGGGTGCTGCAGAGGGCAAGCAGCGGCGGGGCGTGGCGCATGTGAGATGAAGGTCCGGCGCGCCTCGGCTGCGGGCTCAGCTTGCGGCCAAGACGGGCCCCCTTATGCTGCCCGGACTGGACTGCTGGAATGGACTCATCCGACCAGCCGACATGTGCGCCTACTGTGGCATGACCGCACACAACGCTCGCACCCAACCAGCCCAGGCCCCACCTTGCTGGCAACTGTGTAGATAAGGTTGCCCTTGGCCTTGGCACACCCCTCCACCACGCCCGCCTCTTTGGCGGTGTCCAGCAGCGCCTGCGTGAACTTGGGGTTCCGCAGCGACTGCCTGCGGGGCGCGGGCGGGGCACAGCCGGAAGTGCACCGCGCAATGCATGCGCGTGAGCGCTGCGCCGCAGGCCGCTGCTGCACCAGCTGCGGGACCTGGCCTCGTCGCTCGGCTGAGAAGCAGCCCCGCATGGGGCGCGGTCGCGCAGACCCTGCCTAAGAGGGCAGGCGCACACGCAGGCAGACTGTGGCAAGCCGCGCTGCGGGACCAGGGCAGGCGATGCGCCCCCTTTTGCTGCTGTGCCGTAGCTCACTCTACAACCTTCTCGTCCAGGCCTATGGCCAAGAACACCGGTCGCGCCTCATCCTGTAGCGCCTGCGCCAGCCGCTCCTTCTCCTCCTTGGAGGCCATCCACAACGCCGACCACGCCGCCCTGCAGAGACACAGCAAGCCAAGCCACTGCAGTGCGCTGTGGAATGTGGGCGCATGCAGGTGTGCAAGATGATGATGCAAGAGCCAGTATCATGCCTGTATGGCCTGAGCGCGAGCATGCCAGGGACGCGCACATGCGCCGGCTGCGCATTGCAGCCCCCTGTAAAAGCGGGCGCACCAGCACAAGCAGCGCGGTAGCATCCAAGCAAGCAGGCGCTCTGTATACGCGGCTTGACGCTTACCGTTGAACCGCTGCTCTGCCGACGTGCCGTTCAGCAAATACGATAGTGCGTTGCGAGATCGGCGCCTTGTCGAGCCCGTCGATTATGATGCTGTCCGAGCAGTCGTGTCGTGCTATGCATGCAATGGTATGAGACGCGTGGTGATCAAACCTGACCTAGGCAAACCCTTTTCGCTTGCAGCAGCTGCTGGATCTGTGGGGACACTGCTTGCGTTCAGGCGTTCACCACGCAGTGAAGCCTGCCTCGGTGGTTTTTCCAAATTCATTCTGATCTTTTTGCCTGCCGTCTAGCACCAGTTGAGACCCAGCAGCATAGATCACTCAGCGTTCTCGGTTTGGTGACCTTTAAGGCTTGCAGGCCAGTGTACAACTGCGGAGGGAGCACTTAATTTGGCTCCAGCGCTGGGGGGAGTGCTGCCGCGGAGGGCTGCGTGCTGGCGCGCGCTGCAGTGCAGCACTGCTGCATCAGTAGCGCAGGCGCAGCGGCGATTTGCGTCGCTAGGGGCCTGCAGACATCATGGTGGGTGGCGGGAATGACCAGCAACATGGTGATGGTGCCCATTGAGTCCCACACGGACACACCTGCTGCAGCAGCAATGATACCACCATGTCGGCTGGCCCTGCCGACGCACGCCCCGTGTGCTCCGTGCGGTGTGCACTTACCGCGCACAGGCGCCCACCAATGAGAGCTGCGTGTCTTATGGCGCCAAGCTTGGCGCCTTGATGGCGGCTGCTAGTGTCCCTGTGGGCTTTTTCCGTGCACACGGCGACCTCAAGAAGCTGACCATCCAGGAGAAGCTCATTCGCATGAACAGCTTCCGCGTCACCGGCCGCGCCTTGTGGGGCCCCATGGCCACCTTTGCGGCGGCGGGCGCGGCGTTTGCAGGTGCGTGGCTGATTATTCATGGATCTCGTCGGCTCTGGGGTGCAGCAGGACCACCGGGGCTGCTGGGCCACAGCCAAGCCCACGCGCGGGGAAGCACGGGTCGCTCCTTGAGACGGGGGCCATGGCCGCGCTCAGCCGGATGTGGGGTGTGACACGGGTCGCCGCCGTCATCTTGTCAAGCGCGGCGACTGGGCACGGCAGTCCCAACTTGCTGTAGGCCATGTGTTTGCTGGCCCAGGGCTTGCAACGGGTGCTTGCAAGAGCAGCACGGCTGGGCGCGGGCTTCCACACGTCCTCCTCACCCCGCCGGCGTCTGTGCGCGTCCCCCTCAGTGGCGGACTGCGTGACGCAGGACTATTTGGGGCGCGACGACTCGCTGTCGGGTGTGGTGGGGGGCCTGGCGGTGGGCGCGGTCTTCGGCCTCAAGCGCGCCTCCCTGGTCGCAGGCATCGGGGTTGGCGGCCTCTGTGCGGGCGCCATGCTGGTCACAGACTTCTTCACGTGAGAGGGGGTTGATTGGGGGGGTGCCAACGGAGGGGCAAGGGGGATGCAGAGGGCCTGTCGCCGGGCTTGCTGGGCCAGGCGCACATCCGAGTTCGTTGGGGTGCAGCGGCCCAGTAGGGCGCTGATGCCGCGAAGCTTGGTGACCCCTGCCGGTGTTTATTGCGGGGCGGCGACCCCCGGGCTGAGGCGCAGACAGGTGGAGGGATGTGGAGGGACGCTGCCTTCATGCCCCTTACCTACCCTGCTCGCACCTCCAACCCTCTACGCCCCCCCCCTTACCCCCACCGCAGCAAGATCGCCCAGCCGGTGTTCAAGGACGTCAAGCACTACGGCCCCAAGGAGAGCGCGGCCCCAGCCAGCCAGTAGCCGGCCGTCGCAGCCACCTATGCAGCGCGGGCGGCGGCCCTGTGTGCCGTGTCCGCGTTTGCCTCAGCTTATCGTTCCGTGGTTCCTAGTTGATGCTTGCTCCCCAGATTTCACAACATAGCAGTTGTAACCTTTGTCATGGTCTTTGGACTGCCTACTGTTGAGAGTTACTCCACCAGTCCTGTGATGTTTGGTTGCATCGTGGCCTGCCCTCTGCTGTCGCAAATAAGAGCAGCTTACAGCCGCTCCACGGCGTTTGCATACGGCGGCGAGAAGACTGCAGATGCCGCACCACCAGCGTCCTTTGCAGCGAGGACGGCCCGCATTTGCTGTATAGAAATGCGAAGCCCGCCACGAAGAATGCGAGCAGTGTTGAGAGGGCTGAGGCGTAGTAGGGGTATGCCGTCAGGATGAACCTCTCGTACTGGTCATGCTTCAGGGGCTGCACAGGGATGACCTGCTAGTGGGGGGGGGGTCGCAGGGAGGAGGAGGGGTGCAGTCGAGGACGGGGGCCGCCCAGGGTGAGTGATAGGGCCCACGGCTGATGGTTGTGCGGCGAGAGCACACGCGTGCCTGCCAAGGCCGCTCTGCCACCTTGGGCCCTGATTTCCGTGGTGCAGCCTGCGCCCGTGCACTGGGCTGGGAGCAGTGCAGTACAGGGGTTTGGCCTCATGTAGCACATCAATCACATGGCACTCCCTCTCCAACCCCCACGCCCCTACGACGTGCCCGCTGCAGATTGACGTAGCTGTACCCCGCATGGTGGTAATCGATGACGTACGTGAAGACGCCGTACACATCAGGCACCCTGAACCTCAGCGAAAACTTGCCGTCCGGCGAGGGCAGCAGGGGCTGCCTCACGTAGGGGTCCAGCATGGTGAACGCCAGCTGGACGTCCTTGGCCCTGGCGGACGGGGTGGGAGGGGCCGGCAGCAAGGGAGGGACGAAGAGCATCGTTGCTGCGGCTGTCGGTCCTCAGGGGTGGCAATCAGCAGGCAATGGTTCCAGCCTGAAGCAAGTAAACCAGGAGCAAGAACAACACCCCACCACACACACACACACATACACACACACACAAACATGTGCTGTCACACTGACAGAGCGCACGCACACATGCCCACACACATGCACGCTCCCCGCGCGCAGGCGCCCTCAAACAACCACAAAGTTGTACTCCCCTGCTCCTCTGCCCTCCACTTACACATACTCAAATGCCCACCCACCTTTCTCCTCTGCACACACACATTCGACATGCACCCCCCACACACACACACACACTCTTGCAAAACCTTTTCAGCTACACCAATGTTCCCACGCACTGGAAGGGCTTGGTGACGTCACCCTCCACCTCGGCAATGCCTATCTCAAACTCCACCTCCTCGTTGACGCGGTACAGTGGCGGGCCCTCCTCCCCGGTCGCCAGGTTGCGGTGGCGCGGCATGCCGACACGCAGCGCGCCGCGGCGCTGGAACGTCCAGAGCGCGGCCGCCAGTGCAAAGGCACGGTTTCCAGACTTCGGGTAGCTGTCGGGCGTTGGAGGGTGCGAAGCAGGGCAGGGGTGACATCCAAGATCGTGATGAATTGGGCGCCTGTACGAAAGTGACACAGGATTGCGCCGAGACAGGCCGGCTGCCAGAGCCATTTTGTGAAGGCTTCGCCGGCGCAGAGCAGCTGGTGGGCGTGTGTTGCTGCCGTGGTGTCCCACCACAGCTGCCCCTCCTCACCTCACCTCTTGCCGGTGTCTGCGACCTCGACGGCCGCGTCAAACAGCTCATCACTGAACAGGTCCAGGGACCCCGAAACCAGCACGCGCGCGTTGTTGCGCGCCTGCACGGCGCTCACGAGCGCGGCCGCTGCGCCGGCGGGGCCGGAGGGCGCGTCGGGGCGCTTGAGATCCGCTGTGTAGGTGGTGGGGTCCCCCGAGAGCACCACCGTCACCTGGAAGGGTGGGCCAGGGGGGGAGGCCGGCTTGGCTCATGCCATTTCCTGCACCCATTGCAGAGGTCACTGCAAGCAGCTGACCCACGCGCTTTGGGTGCAGCCCTACTTCTTGGGTTCTGAGTCACCAACACGTCCCTCCCGAACCAGCACATCCACGGCACGGCCCCCGCTCCTGCTCACCAGCTCGCTGCTCGTGGGCACTGACGCAGCGACGCCGCGGAACAGCACAGGCGCTGCAGGCCGCGCCGCCCCCAGGATCGCGTCGCTGTCCACCCAGGAGCTGATAGCCACGAGGGATGCATCGGCTGCGCCGCCCGCCGCCTGAAAGCTAAAGTGGTCAACGGCCTGCGCCCCGCCGCGTGCGTCTGGCTCGACGCCGCAGTCCGATGCGAGGGAGCGCACGGCGTCGCTGGCGCCGGGTGCAAGCGCGATTAGCAGGTTGCCGCCGTTGTCGACAAAATCCAGGAGCTCGGAGCGCGAGATGTCTCCGCCAAAGACTGCGGCATCAGAAGCGCCAAGGCCGGCAAAGGATGACAATTATTGAAGGTCAAAGCCTCAGCTGCCTCTAAGCATGCGCGGTGTTTTCTCAGCGTCGTCCGACAGGCAGGGGATGGCCGCCCTCTGCTGTGCGCGGGGCTTGGACTGAAGATGGCGCGACCACCACCCGCAATGTCCAGGCCAACAACAGCAGGCCGCACCCAGCGGACCACGCACCGGCGCACGGCCGGGTCGCTCACCATTGGCGTGGGGCGCGAACAGCACGACGTGGTCGTACAGGAGGCGGTCAAAGCGGCGCACCGCCAGGCCGTCCTCCTTGTGGCCCCTGACATCCACATCTAGCCCCGCGTCCGCCAGCCCCTTGAAGAACTGGCTGTGGCTGCTGCGGATCTCACCGCTGCCAATGAGCGCAAGTACGCGCGTGCCTGTGCCTGTGCTGGATCCGACGTCCACGCTGGAAGCCGCGGTCGTGCCACCCATAATCAGCAGCAGCAGCACGAGCGCCGCCAAAGTAGGTTGCAGAGGGCGACACCAGCTTCATTGTGGAATGCTGGCTGAGCTTAGACGATCAGACCCTGGCATGTGGCGAGATCAACCCTCCAAAACGTCCTGATGTGATGTGGCTGCCCAACACGCGGGTGAAGCTGAGATGACGGCTGGCTCAGCTGTGCGGATCAAAAGAGAGTTGATATATGATATTGAGGCCTCAAATATGAGGAGGGATAGCTGAAAAGAGCAGCAGCTGCGAGCTCACTGGTGGACCGTGGTGCAAAACGAGTGAGACGAGTGAGATCGCCCGGCCGACCCTCGTATGGGCGCATGCTGGAACCTGTAACTGTATACATGATAGAGACGCTGCTCTGCAGCGCATCTCAAATGATCTGAAATGTTGCGCGCATCCTGGCCCTCATGGGCTATGTAACAGGATGACAAGCAGTTACTAGGGTATCATGGAGCAGCCTGAGGCCCTAACGTTCGCCGAAGCGATCTCGGCGGGCAAGGAGGTGTTTCAGGCCGCGAAGCAGGCCCTGCACACGCTGCCGTCCGCTTCAGAGGGACCTTGCAAGGGTTCTTCCGGGGATGGTCCGCTCCAGGTGCAAGAGGACGGGCTGCTCACTAACACCGGACTGAAGGCACCTAAAAGCAAGCAGAAAAGCAGCAGCGCACCCTCCGAGACCACGCATCCCGGTTACAAGATTGGGGTCGCAGCATATACTTCGCCGTTCTGGGCTCTCGTTGAGGTGCGCCGCCGGCCCTTTCCGTGCGGCTCGACGTGCCGCTGACGCCGATCGATTTCGCGGCCCTCACTGGCCTGTTCGCAAAGCCGCGCGGCAAGAAGCAGCGCGCTTCCGTTCCGCGTGTGCTCGCTTGATCAGACGTAACGGCGGAACACGCACGTGGCCGCCAACCCTTGCATTGTACGGTCTCACCCGCTTCCTTGACGCCCACCCTGCAGGATTACTTTCGAAATGTGACGCGCGAGGACGTGGCCAAGCTGCTGTCCTTCTGCGTGGACCCGGAGGACGACGACGCACTGCTCGTGCCACGCCTGGGGCCCCCCGCCACTCTCACCCTTGAACACGCGCGCCTCGCTCGCCGCGGGCCCGGCGGCGCAGACGGCAGCGGCGCAGCTTTGGGGATGGCGCGGCGGGGGGCTGCGGCGGGCGTGGGTGCTGGCGGGGAGCGGGAGGCGGTGCTGTTTGATCTGGAGGGGCTCGACGACGTGAGCTGGGGGACGGCTGGGG